ATTATAAAGTAGTGAGATAGTCAGATTTGGTGTAAATCTGAAGATTGTTTGATACTCGATACTACATTCATCGAGATCGGACTTTCGGGATATTTCAGTCGCTAATAAAGAAGCTTGTGCTGAAACAATGTCTGATGAAGAAAGATCAGTGATATTGAGATTCCTTAGAACCCAGTTACTTTTGCTAGGACAGGTTGAACCAACTAAACTTCAAAATGCTTCTTTCTTATAAACTCCATGCAAGCCTTTGAACCTAAGGTTAATTGTCTGACTTGGTTGAATTTATGATTTGACAACTTGAACTCCTTACAGGGTTTGTCTGTATTCATTATCTAACAAAATTCCTTGCAGGACTTGTTTGTAGTCATTATCCAGTAACCTGGACTTCTTGTAAGAATTACTTGTTTTCACTACCTAACACTTTTTCTTGGTGCATAGCATACACATCATAATATCATACCATATCATCCTCAATAACCAGCTTAAGGATCTCAAGGGGAAGTGATGCAGGTTATCATGAACCAGACGCCTAGTAAGGGGCAAGGGGATTTATTTTCCTCTAACCAATGATGTCAAAAGCCAAAGCACGTTATCTTGAGTCAAAGGCTATGACCCACTCAACATGGTGATCTGGATTCTCGTAGAAGGACGTTCAACGATACGAAGTTCTTCAACCAAAACTGTAGTCAGATTCGACTTCTAATATTTTATTTTGTTTACTCTGCGAGATCCTTGAAAATGCTACATCTACATGCATCTTGTCATAACAGGTTTCCCCATACATGTTTTCTCATTGGCTTATTGTTTATTTCAGTAAAGATGACTCTCGAACAGAATGTCAATGATCTTCAGATCCAAAATGCTCAGTTCCAAGAAATGTTCCTGAACCTATCCAGGGGGCAAGAGGAATTGAAAGCACTCTTCACTGAGAGCACGAACAAGAAGAGTCCTGAAGACAACATGGATGACCAGTTGGAACAATTGCAAGCTCAGATGGAAACGATGAGAATCCAACTGATAGGTCAGATGGCTCTTATCCAAAATTTACCTCGGGGCAACTATCTGTAAAACAAAACTGATTGTAGATCAATTCCCGAAACAAGACGGGGCGACTATCTACATGAAGAGATTGAATATTAACTCTCGAAACAGGACAGAGAAACTATCTTTATTTATCTTTGGTCAGATAAAGATCAATTCCCGAAACAGGATGGAGCGACTATCTTTATCATCGATAGTATAAACTCTTGAAACATGAGGGGTTTACTAACAAACTGATTATAGATAAATTCCCGAAACAAGACGGGGATGACTATCTACATGACGAGCAACTATTCAAACACCTTTCCCAGAGTATCACTCTGGAAAATATACTTTTTAGATACATTCGGGCGGAGACTCATTCTGATTCACTTTTTAGATACCGTCAGACGTAGACTCATTATAATACATTTTTTAGATACAGTCAGGCGTAGAATCATTCTAATATTTTGTTTTATATACAGTCAGACGTATACTCATTCTAACATATTTTTCAGATACAGTCGGGTGAAGACTCATTCTAATTCACTTTTTTTAGATACAACCAGGCGTAGACTCATTCTAACATATTTTTCAGATACAGTCGGGCGGAGACTCATTCAGATTCACTTTTTAGATACAATCAGACGTAGACTTATTCTAATATAGTTTTCAGATACAGTCGGGCGAAGATTCATTCTAATCCACTTTTTAGATATAATCAGATATAATCAAGCACAAACATATGTTGGTTCAGTTTAAATCGATCGAGATTTATTTTGATTCTTTTCCAGTAGACACTTTTCTGGTTCAGTTTAAATCGACTAAAGATTTATCCTGATTCTTTTCCAGTTAAAGAAAATTCAAGACATCTGCTGGTTTAGTTTAAATCGACTAAAGATTTATTCTGATTCTTTTCCAGTAGACACTTTTTCTGGTTCAGTTTAAATCGACCAAAGATTTATTCTGATTCTTATCCAATTAAAGACAAATTCAAGACCTCTGCTGGTTCAGTTTAAATCGACCAATGATTTATACTGATTCGTTTTTGGTAGACACTTTCTACTGGTTCAGTTTAAATCGACCAAAGATTTATTCTTATTATTTTCCAGTAGACACTTTTTCTGGTTCATTTTAAATCGACTAAAGATTTATTATAATTCTTATCCAGTTAAAGACAAATTCAAGACCTCTGCTGATTCAGTTTAAATCGACCAATGATTTATCCTGATTCGTTTCCGGTAGACACTTTTTGCTAGTCCAGTTTAAATCGACCAAAGATTTATTCTGATTCTTTTCCAATAGACACTTTTCTGGTTCAGTTTAAATCGACTATATATTTATTCTGATTCTTATCCAGTTAAAGACAAATTCAGGACATTTGTTGGTTCAGTTTAAATCGACCATTGATTTATCCTGATTCTTTTCCAGTAGACACTTTTTCTGGTTCAGTTTAAATCGACTAAAGATTTATTCTGATTTGTATCCAGTTAAAGACAATTCAAAACCTCTGTTGGCTCAGTTTAAATCGACCAAAAATTTATTCCGATACTTCTTCCAGTAGATACTTTTCTGGCTCTGATTAAATCGACCAAAGATTTATTCTGATACTTCTCCCAGTTAAAAATAGACAAAAACCTCTACTGGCCCAGTTTAAATCGACCAAAAATTTATTCTGATTCTTCTCCAGTTAAAAGATGATGCAGATATTTGTTGGTTCAGTTTAAATCAACCAAAGATTTATTCTGATATTTCTTTCAGTAGATAGTTCTTCTGACTCAGATTAAATCAAGAGTAGATTTATTCTGATACTTCTTCTGGTTGAAGTTAAGCTTAGACTTAGTCTAGTTTCTATCAACAGTTATCCTGGATGGCATCTATAAGCCCATTTCTGAAAATATTCCGTCACTCTCCAAATGGCATATTTAAGCCCATTCCTAGTATGACCAACCAACATCGTCACTTCTTGCATAAGCGAGTGCAAATTTTTGGGCACTTAAATGTTCAATCATCTTTCACCTTCAAGTCACGAATGGCGAACGTACCAATCTAACTCTTCGGGTTCAAGAATATTGAACAGGGGCAGTTGTTGTACCCCAAAATTTTCTCTCCCTTTTCTTTAAGATATTCTCCTAGGGTTTATCAAATATGACTTAAGAATTGATCAGACAAATTCTCTTCCTAAACATTGGGTCCACAACTAGGGTTTGGTATTTCTTAAGCAAGATTGGGTTTCCAATATATCAAGTGGTTTTCATGGCGCTTCATATGTATTCAAGAATGCTCATATCAAATTTCATGCCTTGCCTCACAAGTTTGCTCATTCAATTGCTCGGATGACCGAAAATCAACTCAATTGACCAAAAAGTTAACATTTTCAAGATCAAGTTCAAACAATTGTAACTTCTTCATTATTCAATATTTTTTAGTGATTCTTTTTGCGTATGACTCTCCTTGATGTCATCTCTAACTTCTCTTTACAAGTCAAGAGTCGATTATGTTCGAAAGATCATCAAAAATTTGAATACTTTAGAGGTCACTTTTTGGACTTTGACCTAACTTCAAGTAACAGTTGCCTGACTTCCAAGAATCGCAATTTCCTCAATTTTCAAGATCTTGAGACGATTATTTTTGCACATTGTCATAAACGATGTCATCTACAAGTTCTCTTCAAGGATCGAAGGAAAATTGTGTTTAGAAGACCTTGAAAGTTATCGAATTGTCACAGGCTATTCTCTTGATTTAGAATGTTCTTAACTTTTAATTTTAACTCATGCCATAATTGTTTTCTCAGGACTATAACTCTCATGTTGAGATTATTCATGGAAAAATATGTTGAGTTTGGAGATTCATGTTAAGTTCGAACAAGATATTGCTTATAATACAAGTCACCATGTTGGAAATTGATTTAGGATCTTGGTTAAAATGATTTGAGGATTCATTTGAATAATGTCTTTGATTTCAACTCAAGTTAGAAAAGCATTACGCGATATCACAGGTTTCGTCCAAATTTTCTATGGTTCATTCGTGTGAATTATTTTGAATTTAAGGTATCAAAGACGAGTTCACTTAAATTTGCTCAAATTCATTCAAGTTTCCAATATTCGAGCCTCATTGGAATTCAAACATGATAAAGTTGTGCTTTGATTCATGGGTTCTCTAAGTTACAATTCTCATGAACCAAATCAAGTTGACAAAGCTAATTTAAAGTTCGTGATTTTTTTTCATCTATCTTCAAGCATGTCAAGTTCCATGCTTCAATTCTCTCAAGATATTCAAGTTTTAAATCCATTCAAGTTTTTCAAGAAAAGACACCATTTCATTCAATTTCATCTCCAATATTCATTCATAGTTCACAAATTTCATTCAAATCTAATTCATTCATAATTCAAGTTTCTCATATCAATTTTCTAATCAAAGTTTAAAAGTTACAAGTTTGGTTCCAAATACAAGAAAAATACAAATTCCCAAACCCTAATCTTCCTAAACCGATCCTAAACCTAACCCTCTATGTCCAAAATCAGTTCAAAATGTTATTGTCCATCCCTGCACTAATTGTTGCTGCCCCGCTCTCAAATCCTGCATAAAACAACCTCTTATACAGTCCAAAAGCCCTGCAAAAGCAGCCTTGTCACTGCTGCATAAAACCTGCATCAAATCCTTTGTGCTGCTACTCCAAAACCTGTCTTAAACAGTCCAAACCTGCACAAAGATTGTACAAAAATGGCAAAGTAGAAATCTGCATCAAGAAAGCAAAAAAACAATTTTCTCGTTCAATTTCAAACTTATTTCTCCTCTAATTTCTCATTCATTTTTTCAGATATAACAGATCTTGTTTTTACTCTCAAGGGGACAAAAAGGAATCGCCAGAGAAATTAAAAAAAAAAGGCAGATCCAGAAAGAACATAATTTACACTTCTTCCTTTACTCGTGGCCATAAATCACCATCCTTCTTCTTCTGTTGCCATCGACTACTCCTTCTATCTCACCACTTGCTCCATTGATCTCACTTTCCCACCGTAACAACCAATTTTCATACAATATACACACACCAGCCATAACAACCTATAATGCATCAATGGAATTCAGCAGCTCAACACCATAATCACAAAATCAACACATCTGGAGCGGAAGATTTCAGAAGATAGAATAAAGCATAAGAGAATTTCACACAAGTCAGAAGGTTCGAAGGAGAAGGTTACTTGCACCGATGTTGAAGCCTCATCAGAAGGTTTCCGATAGGTATCCCTTGAAACTCATGACTTGATTTTCGTTCTGTAATTGATGTTCCATGAATCTGTGATGTTTGTTGTTATTGTTGCTCAACTGTAATCGCGAAAGAGCTGTGAATTTCTGCGTTCCACCTTTTTTTTTACCGTGAGGGAGAGAGCATGGTTCAAGAGGTTGTGATGGTTCAACTTCGTCTCATCTTCAAACCGCAACAACGCCAAACAAATATTTTCTCCCTCTTTCAATCTTTGCTCCTCCACCCTCAGACCTCACCTTGAAGCACTTAAACTCACTGATCTGCAACATCATAATGCTTCTACAACAACAACAAAACGCAACAAAGGACACAAAAATTCAAAGAAGCAGAAGAAATGGAGTAGAAGAAGAAATGAAAAATAGAAATCGCAAGGGATTTAAGAGTTCACCTTGAAGCTAATATCTCTATTTTTCTCTTCTGATAGTAGTCACCTTCGGGTTTTTTCCAACAATATTCGGGAAAGTCTTATTCCCGTAGAGATTAGAATGATGAGTTGAGAAAATGAGAGAGATATGAAGCTTGAATTTGGAAAGAAGTTGGGCGGTGTAAAACACGAATAAAGAGGAGAGATTTCTTTTGCCATTGTTGCTTTAATTGGAAATTAAAAAGAAAACTTAATTTAATGACAATTTTCCCTTCCCAATAAGCCAGTTGCGGCGCCTCTCTTCCCTAGCGTTTTGTTGTTCTTCTGTTGAATTATTTGGCCATTGGGCCTTACAAATCATGACCCAATCACCAGGCCTGTCCGCCATTCATGCAGCCCTTTCATTTTGTGTGTGTCATTTTTACAAACAATAAAGGTTTTGGACTTCACCACTTTTCATTTTGGGTCTATTTCGAATTTACACTTCCCATATCCGGGTTACACCCTATCCTGGCCCAAATAGGTTTTCTCTTTAATTAGAAATAGGTTAGATTTTCCTTATATTAAAAAAAAATAACATACAAATTTTAAAAATAAGTTTTAATTCTTTTATTCAAAAAAAAAAATTATTCAAAAATTACTATATATATATATATATATATATATATATATATATATATATATATATATATATATATATATATATATATATATATATATATATATATATATATATATATATATATATATATATATATATATATATATATATATATATATATATATATATATATATATATATATATATATATATATATATATATATATATATATATATATATATATATATATATATATATATATATATATATATATATATATATATATATATATATATATATATATATATATATATACATATATACACACCTTTTTAAAGCTAAATAATTAAACTAAAATATATTATTTTTATATTATTTTGTTAATTAATTTTTTTATTTAAAATAGATTATTTTAGTTTAATTAATTGTTTATTTTTTTAATTCGATTGGGTTGTATTAATTGTTTATTTAGACTTTTAATCGTATTGTCGATTCGATTCATCCCCATTCATAAATTTGTACCCCCATTCCCGAAGCATTGTAATAGCGTAGAACTTTAATTTCCGTAATTTACTGTTTTCCTTATTACTGTATAATAATTAGGTGTGTATGAAAAGACATAAAATCAACCTCTATATAACCATAATTCAAGACAAATTAATTGAAATCAAACACTTATCACACGCGCACCTCTAGGGTAACCGTGTTTGTTGCCTCGAAAAAACAGTCATGTCCCTTGAATATGGGACGCTTTAGCAAAGACCCTCGATAAAAAAGGATCGTAGTCCCTCGATGTCCCTTCGGTGTTGCCTTCGGTAAAACGATCTTAGTCCCTTATGACAATTGCTAAAGTGTCTCATAAGTTGCCTTCTATGAATGTATGACGACCCGCGCATGTCCCTCACATCCAATAAAAGGGCTTCCTAATAACTAATGGTAGGATAGGACTATCTAAAGGAAGAGGAAAAGAACAAAGACTTTTTGAGTAGGTAGATTGATCGTAATTGCTTGATCATAAACAAAAACCATTTCCACACCTCACACTTTCAAAACATCTTTCAAACACTTTCCAAACAACAAATATTTTAAAAACCAACACTTTGTATACATTCTCAATGATACGGGAATTATTACAAAGTTTTCTGAACGAAGGCATTTTTGAAATATTTTCAAACTTACACAAACACGAAGCATTTCAAAGTGAGCTAGCAATTAAGAGCCCGTAGATCACTACAGATGAAAAGGGTGCTAATACCTTCCCTTTTCATAACCTACCCTCCAAACTCGATAAAAATTATCAAAAGGTCTTTTCTGTTCTTTTCACCCTTTCCTTCATTAGATAAAAGAAAAGTCGATGGCGACTCTTGCTATCCGCAACATTTGCGATAAAATGCAAAACACCCAAGTCAGTACTCCCACCGTATTACAGCAGCATAGGGACAATCTTATACGCATGCATGTAACGTGACATGACCAGTAGGTATGCGCCATCTCAGATAGCGAATAAGACCAAAATTAAGAGAATTCACCATCCCAATTGGCGAATTAGTGGTGGAGCATTTTTGTCTTGTTCAAAGAAAATGAAACTTATTTATCTTACATGCATCTAATGTTATCAACACTCAAATATTCAAACACCAAACACGATGTCCTCTACACCATAATATGTTATTAGTGCATATTTCAACGGTGAGACGTACATTTGTTACACTGCATGTAGAGGACAAATGTGTTTGGTGGGATAAATGTACGTCTCACCGTTGAAATATGAACTAATAACATATTATGGTGTCGAGGACATCGTGTTTGGTATTTGAATGTTTGAGTGTTGATAACATTAGATGCATGTAGGATAAATAAGTTCCATTTGCCTTGAACAAGACAAAAATGCGCCACCACTGATTCGCCAATTGGGATGGCAAATTCTCTTACTTTTGGTCTTATTCGCCATATGGGATGACACATCCCTACTGGTCATGTCATGTTACATGCATGCGTATAAGATTGTCCCTATGCTTCCATGTTACACTACACCTATACTGCCACCTACTCTAAATATACTTTTTATGGATGTGCTTTCTTACTCCAAGCATGGGGTTGGTGGAGAATGGAGTCTCTAAACCCCGATAACAACAATGCATTCATTTTTCCATACGCAAGAAAGTAAGTCAAGAACTTAAATAATTTATTATTCATTCTTTCACCAAATAAATATATAAATATAACTATTTTTTCATTCCTTTAGGTATTGTGTAACAGGTATGGATTACGGAAAGAATCCAAGATTCAACGTCGCTCTATATCGTAATCTATTGGATCACCTTGGCCCGGATGATGTACGTGATACCTTTGAACTTTTCTACTTTTAAATATTTATTTTTTACGTTTTCATTATTCTTATTAATTTTTATCCACGGTTTATTTAGAGACCATATTTGGGTTTGGACCATGAACTAAACCTCGAGGATGCAATAGTTTGAACTGCAAAGAGTTCAATCATACAGTTCAACGTTGTGGAGATGCACCACAACGACCGTGTCAAGATGCAATTCGAAATGTATCAAGAGATACCATGCGATCCAACTTATTTGTCACCTTGGTATCTCAAAAGGGTGGACGCCCAATGGGGTCTTACTAATTGGAAAGATTTTGCTCTAGAATGGTGTAAGATGTGGCATGAGCGTCACCAACATGTCTTACAATTCCCTGTTTTCCTCAACATGGATAATATGTGACACACAAATCAGTATTTTGATTAGTACATATCGGTTACTAACCCAGAAATACATGTGTCTCACCCAAGGTATTTGATTGATCCACGAACACAATGGGCACAACCCTCAAATCTCCAATAACAAACCCAACACACATCAACCTTCCACCAAACACCACAATGATACGGATTCACAAACACCCAACCACAATCACCACCTCAATACCAATACACCCATATGGCCCACACTCAACCCCAACCCCAATCCCAATCTCAATACCAATACACCCACATGCCCCACACACAATTCTAGTATTATGAACATCCCGATGTGGGCCCTTCATCATCTCACCTTAGCCCAGATCTAGGCTTTCTTGAAGAATATGACCCAACCGACCCAACTTGCCATCAACCACCACATCACCATAGCACCCAACAATCGCAATATCAAACACCACAAGATTCATTTCTTTTTTACTCCCTTACTCAGACGACCAGTGCTATCGACCATCCATGAAACCCCATCCCCCACCAAGGCGACCAAACTTTGAGGGCATAGGTAATCGATTTTACCAAAGCGAATCTTTCAGATATGGTGATCTGACAAATTTCATGGATCCTGAACGCATTGACTTCGTTGGGCCATCGATCCAACCGCAACAGGAAAATCGACGAAACCCAACATGAGTTAGGCGAGAACGCGGGTGCAGAACCACGAGTCGTTAACGAGTTCCGGGAGACAACTAAATAATATGCAATAATTTTTTTCATTATGTAATCGTTCATTTGTTATTGAAAAATTGAACTTTCATTACATTTAGTTATTGTTTCTTATTTAAAATAGAAAGTAAAAAAAATTGAGAGTTAAAAGTACTTAGGCGTCATCTGAGATAGTTTAGGGCAAATACATTGCACTTATACGTCATCTCACTTGACGTCTCCATATAAAAATAAAAATGATGTGTCATCTGAGTTGCCTCTTATATTTAAGTATTTTTTAAAACATGATTATTTACGTAATTTTCTTTTAAACATGATTATTTATGTTTTTTTTCAATACTTTATTATTGTTAAAAAAAAAAAAAATCAGATTTAAGAGAAACAAAACAATATTCAACTTCAATTTTTTCTTCTTTAACAAGTCCGGCCCTCTCTCACACAGAAAAGCAAATTCTTCTGTCCCAAAATTAGTAATAGAAAACGCAAAATAAGAAGAATTGATAATTAAACAAAATAAGTATTTGTTTCATGATGATATTTATTATGACGTAGATCTAAAAATTTTAAAGTGTAACTTGCAAACACAAGAAGGGAAACGAAAGAAACACATGGCATGAGTATGTTTTTCATTGCAGTAAAATATGAAAAAGGTTGTATGGGAAAATTGGGTTTTGGTTACTGTATTAGGGAGAAGCTTAGAATGTATGTGGAATTGGATTATACTATGTACATGTGAAAGAGTGTTTCTTATGTACAATGGTGTTACAAAAATTGTTAGTAAAACAAATATAATCTCATATAATCATCATACGGTTTTAAAAGCAAATGAATTAAAATAAAAAAAAATAAAAAAAGAAAAAGAAAAAAAGATAACGTTTGAAAATAAAAGAATACCTTATAATGACTTGATCCTCAATCCGGTTTTTTGTCTAATGAGAGGCTGAATAATGACTTGATCCTCAATCTCAACCGTTTGTTTCATACGGTTGCAACTGTCTTGATGAAGTTTGTTGACGAGGGTCCTTATCTCCTCTTGTCCCCGAGTTAAGTTTTGGATAAGAGCCATCTGGCCCACTAGTTGTCTCATCATCTGGATCTTCATTATTGCCATTTCAGTTTGTAGCCGTTCCAACTGGTCATCCTTGTTTTCTTCAGGATTCTCCATGGTCATGTCCCTAGTGAGGAGTGCTTTCACCTCTTCTTGTCCCTTGGAAAGGTTCAAAAACATTACTTGAAGTTGAGCGTTTTGAGCCTGAATGTCTTTGATAGTTTGTTCTAGAGCCATCTCTACTAAAATAAACAGTAAGCAAATGAGAGACCTATGTGGAAAAGCCTATCATGATATGATGCATG